TATTTTCTGACACTGTTGTAGTGGAGATAATATCTGCCGTCAGACGACACCCTCCCAAGGTGACCAGGACGGCGTTTTACAGCAAAGCGGGGGGTTATGGGGAATAGTGACAGCTGTGTGTGCAGCTTCCTTTTCTTGATTTATGTTCAAGCTGTAATGACATCATATTTAGCAGCAGAAAGGGTTATAAATTAGCCATCAGCTAATGGAGGCTTAGCTTCTTTTCTTTGTTGGCCAACACTCTCTTCTCATCTCCCATAGCTTATGCTTTGCCTGAGTAAATAAGCTTTTAATTATAGAATTCAATCACAACTGCAGTATTAATGAGGAAACGCTAAATTTTAGGAGTCTGTCTGCAGCTTGAATTATGTTGCAAATTTATAGAGCAGATGTGCTTAAATGCATTAAATGAGCAAGTGATTTGAAAAATAAATCATATGATGGATATTTTTTGTTCTTTTGGTTTGTTTTGCCCTTTGTTTATTAAAACTTTGCTCATTTATATCCCCTTTTCATTCCCCAATACATTCTCTTTTCACACCTTACATCCAGGCATACCTATAAACAAAGAATTTAGCCCTTTTTTTATTTTTAACCACTGCTTATTAGCAGGGTCGCAAAAAAAAAACACCCAAGTGGGGCCAAAATATTGTGAAATGCATAAACTTGAATGTCTCCTGAAATAAATAAATGTACCATTTAGATTTCAGCAATAAATCAATATATAGACTCCTGATTGATATCAATAGAATCCCTCTCTGATAAATGTTTTACTAATTCCATTGGCATTCTGGGTAATGTAGGCAGAAGAAAGAATTAAGGACCTCAAAGCCAGATTGAAGAAGGCTGGTGGTCGGACTAACATATTTTTAAAGATTGCATTTTAAATAGGGATATTGTTTTACTTTAAATTCCCTTGAAAGTCATTATTTTAAATGGGTTATAGCCAAAACACTAATCAATAATAATCAGTATTGACTGCTATGACAGGATTTTATTGTAATACATTTTTCAGCCATAAACATAACCCTAGTACCATTAAATGAGTAAATGTAACATTTATTTATCTAAAATGTCATTTTTTTTCATTATTAGACTATCTACTTTATATGTATAAATAAATATAGTATAAAGTAAGATAGCTAACATGTTTTTTTAGGTGAACACTAACACAGTTGCTCCTTAGATGTAACCAGCTCTCTCATTAGTTAAATAGCTACACTGGGTTCACAACATGATCAGACTATGATTGGTTTAACTGGTTTTCAGGTCATGGAAAAGGTGAAAGGAAAGGGTGGAGTAAAAAGAAAACGCAACTGCAAAGGGATTTGAAAATGCAAGGTGAAAAGGAAAATGGAAATAATATAAGGAGTTACATTTTTTAATGTGTGATTAGGACAGAAATTTATAAACCAATTTATTAAATACTTTTTTTTAATCTCCATTCAGAAATACGATCTAAAAATATTTTTTTTGAGTGCAGTATTTAATATTGAATAAATAAATACAATGGCTGTTTTTCTTTTTCAGTGACTCTCCTGGTCCTCCATAGAATTGTTTTTTTTTTTGGTTACAGTTTGAAATGTTTGGAAACCTTTGGCTTATCAGACCGTATGCAATATTTAAGGCTTAATTTGGGGGGTGACAAAATAAAAATTCCAAGTTGTCCTTTGCTTAAACACAATAAAAGCTTCAGATTTCACGGGAATGAAATCAGTTTATAGATTTCCATCAAAAGGTCAGATGAAAAGATTAAAACTGTTGATTTATGTACGACTGGCACATACTGTAGAGTACCATAGCAGAAATTGAAGAAGAAATCTGATTGACATTCAATATTTGGAGAAGTGAAAAAAGGCAAAGTAGTGATATGACTGTCTTCCAGAAAGTCTTATTATAAACATTAATATAGTCCTTGTTTCTGCTGCAGTGGTGCTTCGTATTTTTCACAATCATGGACTAATAAATCTGAATATTATCTTCAACTGGGTTGCCTTTTTAAAACTAAAGAAAACTCCTAAGGTCTGTTTTTGTTTAGGAGGGAACTCTGGAAATCCCCCTCTGCTCTGGAAGTGGAAACATAGGGCCTTCAGTCCTCACTGAGGCTAAGGCTGCCAAAAATAAAAGACCAATAAATACATCTGAAGAAAAATGCAAGTGCTGTGGTCCATCAGAGGTTTGAGACGAGCAAACGCAGAAACAGAAAGACACTGATTCAATGCCGATCAGGAATGATGGAATGAAACAAACAGTTATCTCAGCGTTATTTGACATGATCATCATTATTTAAAAATGTTTAGAGTTTTATAACTGGAAAAAGCCTTAATCTAAAATCTATTTCTGTGTCAGTGTCTGCCTAAAATAATAAATAAATGACTTCTCCATTAGTCAAAACTCTTACTAAATCTTATTAGTCTGATTTTGCCTGTTTGCAGTGTTGATCTTTTATTTTTCTGTATTTTCTTTAATTTTGAGGTGAATCTAAACATTAAACCTAAAATGACATGAATTATATTTTCTTATATTCCAAATGTTGATAATTTAACAATATTTTATTGACACCAAATCATAAAAAACTTAAGTTCTAAAACTTTTTTCTAAAGATTTTTGCTCACCTGTTTATAATAACTGTAAGGTAAACATACTTATTAAAATATACCTTAATGTTTCCTGGAAAAGGGCAAAAAAGGCATTTTCTAACCATTTAGACCAGATGAATGTGTTAAATCAAAGACATCCTGCTTTTTTAGTTTTAAGTTAACAGAATATTTCAATCAAATGATAATAAAATCATTGCTCAAGTAAAATATCTATGGGTTTGTAGAACATTTATTGAGGTACTTCAAACATTTACTTAAATTCCAGTTTTGTTAATTAAATACATTTTTATTGGTCTTCAGGAAAATAAAATAAGGAGACTGGGTCAAACTGGAGTATCAGTAGAGCATAAACCAGGATTTTTGTTTATTTTTCATGTATTTTTTTTACATACCTAATGTTCTGGCTTTTACTCTTTTTATTTCTGTTAATATTTATGGAATAAGTTGTGTGTTTATTTATACTTTTGAATAAGCAAAAAGTAATAAAAAATAACCTTTTTCCAATCTTTAAACCATTTTTGAGATGGACATGTGTTTTGTGAATAGGTCTGCCTCTCATGTGTTAATTTAAGGTTTATAATAATGCATTTAGTCATGTTGGAGGAAATATGACCACTGCAGTGGTTCTAGTAATTGTTTTCAGAAGCACTTTTTGTTTTTATTGTTTTTCTATATCCTGTGAAAGATGCTATGAGGTTTACCTCTTTACCTAAATAGATGTGGCTGCAATTTCTCCTCCATACAAACAGCAGACATATATATTTTTTTTTTTTCAGTAAACCGTGTGTCTGTTTTAACCTTCCCTGTACTGAACATGTAACAATGCAAAGGTCCTGTTTTTTTTTTTTAATCATCTGTTGTAAAAAAATACAATAAAAAAAACCTGAGTTGGCTGATGCTATGTTCGTCCCAGGATCGGGTTTGATGGTTTGACATCCTCCCAGCATCAAAGAGCTACATGTTTGTGCACACAGTGCTTGTCTTATTAACAGTGAGACATCAGCACAGGTAGGCAGTCAGTGACGCAGTCGTTGACAGGGCTTTGATCACAGAGATTGTGTCTCACTTGTAAAATTGGCGAGTGCCAAAGGATTGGGAGAAGCATCTTCTAGGCTTTGGTTAGACAAATATTAGCTGATATTTATCATGTATTCTGGTTTCTGCAAAATAACACATCCTGCTCAGTCTGAGTCAGTGTTACATGCATGTTTTTGTTCTAAGTTTGTACTCTTGTATATCAGCCGGTCACTGTATATATTTCAAAGTAGTTTAGGCGATTGCATCAGTTGCTCATAAGAACAAAACACTTGAATATGATTAGTGGCATATGTTGCAGACAGAGCAGTAGTCTGCAGACAATATCTTTTTTTCCTTATCTGGATAAAGTAAGTTAAATCTTTGGAATATTGCTCTTGAAATTGCAGTTTTGAACATTCTGGTTTTTGGATCAAAACAGTGATTTGACATATAAAGTGCTGCTATGGAAGATTTTAAGACAACAGCTTATAATATAAAAATTCTGACTGAGAAAACAAAACATAACATTTCAGTTTGCCATTACAAATAAGATATTTTTGGACCAGAAGCTACACAGAACATCATCATGCCCACTGTGAAACATAGTAATGGCAGCATCATGCTCTGGTTTTACTCTAAGGTGGAATTTTTTTCTTTCTTACTGTGAATCCTAACAGTCTTTACATTTTTGTGTTTTATCTTATCTTTTGTTTCTCAGTTGAATTGTTATTGTCACAGTAGAGGTCAAAGAGGTTTTACAATAGTAAACCATGGAGTTGGCTCTAAGAATCAGCCGTAAAAGAACCGTATTCTGTCTATTAAATGTCAGCACCAAAACAAATGGTGTATAACCTCTTAATATCCACCTAATTTCTGGGAAATTGTGGCCTATTTTACATACCCAAATGGAAAAGCAAATAACTGAGGAACTTTAAGCCCAAATTACATGTGTGATACGTTATTTGAAAGCTAACACCTTCTATACATGAGAATTGGGTTAGTAAAACACACAAGCTGCATAAAGCCCAAGCTGCATTAGTTCTAACATGACTCAACATTGTTTTTTTTGTTATTCTCCAAATTAAAAGGTCTTTTTAAAAAAAGCAGCAATAAAGACATGCTTGCTTGTTGTGGCTGCTTTGTCATGCTACATTTCGACATGCCGCTATAATTGTGCTTTGGTGCTCGCTTTGTCCATAAAATGATTTAGGTGGTTGAATTGGAGAATCTGAGCTTTCCAACAATGTCTAACATGTCTATATTGGTAAACATTTTACCAGTGTTCATTTTCATGCATTCTGAGTTATTATTTGTAAAAACTCTTTAAAACGGGTTTTGTGAGGATAAAAGGAAGATGTTTAGGATTTCTGTTCTGTTTTATAGACGCTCAGAGGAAGAGGTGGACATGGATAAAGTGACGGCTGCCATGGTTCTGACCAGCCTCTCCACCAGCCCGCTGGTCAGGAGCCCCCCTGTCAAAGTCAGCGGTGAGTTGCGTGTCAGACGAACACAGTTTCTAAACAAAGCATTGTCTCTGCATCCTCAGAACACAAATAAATTGTTTCACACCAACCCAGCAATTTGTACGCTCCTCTACCTGCCAATGTTATCTGGTGAATGCATGCGGAAGCTTTGGTTGATAGATGGCTGCCACCTGCCGTGCTTTAGGATTGCTTCATCAATGAACGAAGGGGAATCCACAGAGAAGCCCACAGAGGCTGAAGATCCACATAGTAGCAGGAATCCAGAATTATTTACAGCTGTAAACACGTGCTTCAGCTTTTTACATATTTTTTTATCTGTCCGTTCAATAAAGATCTGTCACTTGGTTTGAGATCCCAACTTAAAGGGGCTTTTTTCAAGAAGCCGTCATACTCACATAAACAAGCAGTCAGCTCAAGCAATGACTGACATTAGATGAATATTCAGGCTTATGTTTGCCTTAACATACACTTAGCTCATTATAGTTCTTTTTCTCCACCACGGGATTAAAATAGCATACCAGTAATTTCTTACATTAAAGATGAGCCACTTGGTCGTCTCTGTAAAGTAAGATTATGAGAGAAGAGACGCCCTGCTGGGACGCTGTTTACTAAACAAAACTGGGTCTCTCTCACTCATTTTGTTATATTCATGCTCAGATACTCCAATATTTCACCCAGCTTACATGTTCTTTTTTTTTTTTTTTTTTTTTTTTTTTAAATGAGATCTGTTTTGTGTGGGATTTTTCAAAAGAAATATTTCTTTGATCTATAAAAGCAAGACCTTGCTAGTGTCTCCATGGAGTCACTGAACAAGGTAAATGTTTGTAGTTTTGGGCCCGTTCTGTGAGAAGTGGAAGTAGTAATTCAAACTCAAAGTTATTTATTTATTGTAAAGGCAAGTATGAAGTGATTTACAATATCCCATAAAGCAGGAATGCCCAAAGTCAGTCCTTGATGGCAGCTGTCCTGCAAGTATTCGAGGTTTCCCTGCTCCAGCACAGCTGATTTTCATTATTTTCTTATTAAAAGGCTTTTGCTGAACTACAGTCATCAGATGTATTTCTGCTGAAGCTGAGAAACATTAGCTCCGTTTACGCAACCTTTTTTAAACCGTGCAGAGATCGGTCCGAGCCCGGTAACCGAGATAACTGTTTAGTGTAAATGGCACGCAAAACTGAAGCGGACCATGCCAGACACAACCAAACCACACTAAACTAGCACTAGTTCATCAGTAGGGCTTGGCGCGGTTCAGCTGTGGCACGGTTCTCAGATAATAAAGAGCGCATTAGGAGACCGCGTCATCTCCTTACAGTCAGCCTCCGTAATCAGGAAATTTCACGCATTCATAAAAATACTAGCTTCCCTATCGTGCCACACAATTTCCAGTGATGATTCTCCTTAGCAGTTTGATGAACCTCAACGTTACTCATCTCTAAGCCCTGATTAGACTATCGTTTGTCGTATCCACTTCCCAAAAGTCGACTCTGTCAATTACATTCACCAAAGGCTGCCTCTTAGCCTGACTCTCCACAAGCAAAGAAGTATCCCACTTATAACCAAACTTCCTGAATGTTACAGGTGCTGCCAAGTTGATTTGCTTGCTTTAGAGAGCAGTAGTACCCTGTGTGAGGGTCTGTTAAACCAGACTTCACTGGAATAACAAAAATAGCTAAAAATAGCTTTCATTTTAGTTTTGAGGGTCTTAGATAAAATAGCAGTAAATTGGTTCCAGAAATTATAAAGTGTCAGCCACAAAAACAACATCTTTTACATTCATCTACCATTTCTGAGAAAATTTTTGACAGGTGCGAATTAGAGTAATGAACTTTGTACAACACTTTAAATTGAATAAGTTGCAACTTAGCAACAGTGTACTAAATCGATTAGCTGATATTGTGTTTTCTCACTGCTGATCTAAAATGGTTATTCCTAGTTTACTTTACTTTAGATGTTGTTTATGTTATGTTATTATGTGTTTTAAGTTAACTACAGATTCATATTTGGAGCTTTAACTTTGTCTTGGACACTAACTCCTCTAACTATCCTAAACGCCGTTATTAGGGCCTCATTTTTTCCACACACATATATTTGCCGTTCGGAGGCTCAGCAGAAACCTCACTTCCTGCGTCAGTTCAAGAATTACTTTTATTTTCTATACTGTTTTTATTCAGTCTGTTTTATGCAGAGCCATCTTTATGTGGGTTACCTCCTTTACAAAACAAGTGAGGTCCAAGCTGGACCTAGATAACTGTAGATCTGCAGATAGGAAAATGTGAACTCTGCTGATCTCACACATTGTAGTTACACGCCAAACTCACCTTTACTTACCTGTAGGACTGTGTAGCAGAGAATTTCTTTGCAAAAAACAAGCCGGCAGTTTCTCTCCCCAGGCTGTCTCCTAGACAAACACAATAGAGTCCTCACAGCTTGAATAATCAGCTGCTCTGCTGGGAAACAAATAAGCATACTGCACCACCACAGCGTGCCTTTCATTATACGTATAGTGAAAGGCAAGTTTGTATTACGGTACTATCCCTATTAGGACTTTCCATAGACTTAAAGTCATTTTTAGTTTCTGCATTTATGCCTTACCCTGACCCTTGCCCTAACCATAACCCCGACATTCATCTAGTGTCAAATCACACCTTTCATATCTCTAAACTTACTCTATATTACCTAATTACTCAAACTTACTCACTATTAAAAATGGGCCTCCAGCCTTTGGTCAAATGGCCTCAGAATGTTAGTTAATGCACCAAAAATGGTCCTAAATAAGTGTTATTAACAAATACACACACATACATATCCTACTGTTTATTGTTATTTTATATCCTATAAGTTTTTACATAACTCATCTACTGTTGATATGATGGGAGCAATGGAGTTCATCCTTGTAAAATCTTAAGACGCTTTGAATCACACCATTTCATGGTTTCTCTTGCTTTATTTTTATTGTTGTCGATCTCCTTGAAGGAGATTCCTCATGTTGTATCAACCGACTTTGAATTTTCCATCCTCATACATTGTCATCCTTTCTTACCAACTCTTTAGAAAGCCTGAGTGGTTCATGGAAGGAGAACGGCTCAGCTGGACCCTTCACCCCATCCAGCAACAGCTCCTCAGGAGGCTACTGGAGCTGGTCTGCACCAAGCGATCAGTCCAATCCTTCCACGCCATCGCCGCCGCTCTCGGCTGACAGCTTCAAGCCTTTCCGTGTGCCAAGTGTGGGTGGTGTGGGCTCCAACCCGACGGGGGCGGAAGACCCCAGTCTGGATGAGCAGGATGGCAGCAGTCTGCTCTTCGATGAGCCCATCCCACGGAAGCGCAAGGTGAGTTCACTAAATCGATTTTAAGGCTGACATGCGGGTCATCTGAATGTGTGGAAAAGAAAATAAGTGGATTAAAGATTTTAATATCTATAGATGTTTAAAAGGTAACCCACCATATTTTTTCTAAGGTACAGATGTCAAGATAACTTAGTCTTTACCAGGTTTTTAATGATTTACCTGTAGCTCAAAGTGTCCAAACTGATCTAAAAATAATGAAATATTTCTTGTAATAAGTGTGTTTGTTCTTAATTTGATGAGGGGAATAGCATCATCTTCCAGTGTAGGGAGTATTTTCTCCTATAATTGGACATATGTGTATAATATGCACATAATGGAATATTTATTTTCTGATTTTAAATGCAAATCATCTTATTTTAATAGCTAATTCTCTTACTTATCTGTTAAAGGGAGAAGACTCTTATTTCAAGAACAAACTAACAGAATTTAAATTCATTATGTGACATTTTCAGATAATCAATTAAGCCCAAAATAAAATGACCATAGGATTGGACACATTATAACCATCTTTTAAGCATTTTCATTCCCATAGAAAAAGTTTGATAACCCCTCTGCCACCATGCTTTATTACTGGTATAAGGCTTTAGTGGTTTTGTATTTAGCCTGATTTTGAGATTAATTTGGTGTAGAAGTTGAATTAAACAGCTTTCCTTCTTGACAAACAGCTCAGGTGTGGGTGACGGCCGAGTCCAGATGGAGGGCAGAAGTAAAGAGAAAACTGTGGCTTTTAATTTTAAGCCATTATTGTTGATCTAGCAAAAGAGAAAGGAGCAGAAACTGTTATATGCGGCCAAATGGACATCAGCTGTTTGGTTCTGCTTCTCAGCACATCAGTTATTATTCAGTCTGATTCTGATCTACACTTTGGCGGGAGGGGGCCAAGGTAAAACACAATGCCCCCCATCATCTTACTGTTTCTCATTTCCCCCTCACCCTGACAGCTCACCGTCACTCATTATGTTTCAGATACTCATCGTGTTGTGTTCTCCCCTCTTATCTGTGCTTCTGTTCCACTTTCATGTCATCATCATCCATCTCTTCCCTCGTTTCTCCTTCCTCCTTTCCTTCATCCTCTCCTCTTCTCTCACGTCTTTTCTCCAGTTTTTGTTTACCTCTTGATGCTCGTCCTCCCCAGACATCCAATCTTTATAATTACTCCTCTCCCTCTTAGTCGCCCCTCAGAACTGTCAATGATTTTCAATATCGGCGGAACACAAAAGATCATCCCGGCTTTACTTCTCTAAATATCCTTTTAGGTTTGGCCTAATTTTTGCAGTGAAGTAAAGGGGGTCTCAGTGAGAAGTGGGAAAAAAAAGTTTTAGAAGTGGAAAAGTGGAAGATGAAGGTTTCAGATTGAAAATTAAACAGTAATTAAATGACTGCTGAATGTTTTGTAAAATGGGTTATTTTATTGTATATTCTTCTATTTTATCATTATATTAAAAAATACGTTACAACTGTACATTTACAGTCATATGTTTATATTACCGGTACTGTTTTTATATATTTACATTTTTTTTTACTATTTTTCTAGGCTGCACTTTTAAAAAATGAGCTGTTCCAAACGAAATTTCTTTTTGTTTTACACTTGTGTAGACAAAGTGACAAATAAAGTCTAAAAGTCTAAGTCTAATTTGCCGGAATTAAACCATAGAGGAAGAAAAGGGCAAAGAAACAAACTTACTCTATAGAAAAAAATATAGAGAGCTGTGAAATGTGTTTTGCCTCCTACAGGTTTCTTCAGCTTTTTACTCTTTTTGTTCCACTGAAAGGTCTTTGATCATCAAACTGATTTAATTTCAGACAAAAATAACTCAAGTAAATGTTAACAATTCAGATAAGTCCAGGCTAGTTTGGAGGGAAAATAAATAAAAATCATCACTTTAAATGTTTTTTCTTGTATTTACTCAGGTAACCTTTAATATAAAATTTGTTGGAGGTTATGAAACCTTCCAGCATGACTGAAAAACATCAACAGAAGGAATCTTCTATACAGCACTGTAGTTTATGCAGTGGCAAGGCTTCACAGCAGATGATCTGCGTGCCGTGCACCTCCTGTGGTCGTTCTCCCTCAGCAGCACAATACCGTTTGAAGCTCCCCGTTTAATTAACTGTGAAGAGTTTCTTTAGGAGCGCACACTCTGTAACACAGAAACAGGCTTTTGTTGTCAAGACAAAACAATGCTTGGGAGACAGATGATTGCCGTGTGCTTGCATTTCTGATATAAAGTGGAGGGAAAAAAACATCTTGTCAAAATGAAATCAGACTCTTTAACAAAAGTTTGACTGACAGGAGAGCAAGGGGGAAAACTCTGAGGGGCTTTTTCCTTACTGCAGGAAAACAATAAACTTTCTCTTTCAGGGAAAGGGTGATGTAATTACAGCAGATGAACGAAAGACTGCAGAGAACTGGCTGAATTGTGTCCAGCATAACTTCATGAAAACATTAAGCAGCATTTAGGAGGAAATCTGCTGTTAAATGAATATTGTTGTTGTCCATAGACTGAGAGGGAAACACCTAATAAGAAAACATCCAGCTCTAATGCCATCGAATAAGTCACATGTACAGTGAAGAGGAAAAAATAAGGACATAAATTCAATATTCTGTTAATTTAAAAAAATGTGTACACAATCTTATATCATCAGCTGATTCTTTAATTACATTTCAAGATTTTTTTTTTTTTGACAAATCAATAAAATGTGCTTTCTAACAGGGGTATCTTATTGTCATTTTCATCTCAGAAATTCCCATATTCTTCTCTTATAGATCTGAGATGTTTGGTTACTTTGTAGTGAAGCCTGTTTCAGTTCCAAAATGAAAGATTAAAAAATTATTAATAAAACCTTCTGATCCTTGGAAAGGTAAAATTGAAAAGAGAAGCTATGTTTGAAAATTACCCTTTAACTGGCCAACTTGTGAAACCACCTTCCTCCCAAGCCTTTTATCTAGGCTTTAGCCATAATTGTTTATATGGAGCGTTTCTCTGAAATCCAAAAATAATAAATAAAAAGAAACATTTCCCTGTACATTATGACCAAACATCTTCACTGTGGTCACATTTATCCAAAGCAGGTTAAACCAGAAGGCTTTAAATAAAGAGTTATATATCATCTGCATAAAGAGAAATCTTATATTTAGGTAGATCTCTCCAAATTTCTTTTTTGAGCTAAATTGACAATAATTTCTGTAAGATCCAAGTGAAAATGTTGTTTTCTGATAATTATAACAATGAAAAGTACAATGTTTACATATAAAACAAACTACTTTGTAAATAAACTTAGATATGAATTGTTAAACATATGAGAGACAAATGTTTGCAAAATAAAGAAGCTCATCTGGCCGTACTTTTTTTTTATGGGTTTTACGTCAAATGATTGTATGTTTTTAACGATAGCATCAAAAACAAGTTGAATTTATCCCAGAAAGGCAGACGAACGGTACGTTTTAAAAATACGGCAGCATCAACACAGAAGGAGGAGTCTTTGCGAGCATTTTGGTTTGGTTTAAAAAAAAATCAGTGTTCCTCTTTGGTGGTTTTTTGAGACTCCAGCAGAAACACATCTTTATTGCTAACAGAAGTGGTGAACCGCATCAGTAATTTATCGTAGCCAAAGTATCATGTGCACAGAAAAAAAATTTATTTGGAGGATTAACATTCTCTGGATTTGCATCAGATTCGCCCTTATTGCTCAAACTGATTTAGATGACAGTCACTGAGAGGCTGACCTGTGGAGAGGGGTTGGTGGAAAAATCTGGCTTTAGTTTATTTAAAGCTACTTTTATGTCCCCTAATCCTATGCAGCCCTTATTGATATTGATTTCCATATGGCCAAGTTAGATTATTTAGAAACCAGAGCACCAATATCTTTAGATCATCATGGGTTGTTTTGTTTCAATAAACACATTAGCAAAACACATAATCCAGGTCTAATTAAAACCACACAGACTATAACAGACTCGAAGGCAGGGCTGCCTGCATAGCAGATGTTGCTGCATTTTGTATTTATTTTTATTTTTTTTTAGTTGCTGTCATGGTGGAATGATTAATGTGTGATGCCCTGGAATAATCAGCACATAAAGATCAAGCCAGTAAAGGGAAATTCTCTGCCTGATGAACAGAGCACCCTATTAATCACTAGTTCAAAGTGTTTTTTTATTGTTGTTGCAGCTGCTCACAGACTCTGTGTAACTTAAACAATGGGGAAGCTACTATTATACATGCTGCCCCCATGTTTGGGCAGAGAAAACACCATGGAAGCCATTCTATGTACCAGAAGAGAGGAAGACAAACACGTTTTCATAGAAAGAACCGAGCTAAGCAACAGGTTTAATGATGAGCAATGAGACGAAAAGACTCAAAGATTTGATCACAGTTTCGTAAAAATATTAAGACACCCAGAAAAACCCAGGCTGTAATAAGGTGCCCTATTTTTTCTCTTCTTTTTAGCGTTTTGGTCTTAAAATAGAAGAAATTGTGGATGCTTTATAGAGGCGCAGAGATTAGGGTTTTATTTATCTGACTCAGCTTTAGTCCTGGTTTATCAGCTTTAATAGTTCAAACCTAAACTGAATAATCATAACAATCAAACTTAAACTGTTCAAAGTTTTTTATTCAAGCTGTTATTATGACAGATGCAATAATTTACCTCTTCATGATACTTTTTTTAAAATCTAAACATAAAAAAGGGCAGTCTTTGCATCCAGGTTATCTGATCTGACCTCATCTGTTGTTTGTTTTCTGCAGAACTCCATGAAGGTCATGTTCAAGTGCCTGTGGAAGAACTGCGGCAAAGTGTTGAGCACCACTGCAGGAATTCAGAGACACATTCGCACCATCCATCTGGGGTATGACAACATTTGCACGCTTTAGGGAACCACCTGCCCTCCATTACTCCCAGTGACCTAAGTAGTCTGTGGTTTGTGGTCTGGCTTACTATGAGTTCCCTCTATTTTCTGAGAAGCCAGGGAATAAACCTGAAGGATAAATTCTCCATTTAATCCTATAAATTATTTTAATGCGAAGCTTGTGGAATATGAAATTCCATTCTTGCTTATTTTCTGTCATAGAAACACCTTTTTTAAAGTTTTTAAACATTCTCCTTCTTTATACGTCATTCATGTAGGCGTAACTGTGACTCGGACTGCAGCGACGGCGAGGAGGACTTCTACTATACAGAAATCAAGCTCAATACGGATTCAGTAGCTGACGGGCTGAGCAGCCTGTCCCCTGTGTCCTCCTCCATCCTGTCCCCTCCGCCCCCTCCGCCGTCGCCTCTACAGCCCCTCAGCCATCAACCGGAGTCCCACCGACCCTCACATCCCTCCGACTCTAAGGAGCCTCACGCAGGTGGCAACACCCCGCTCAGCCGCTCCGCGCCAAGCGCTCTCTACCTCATCCACTCGGACCACGCCTACCAGGTGAGCGCTCAATTGTCTTCGCAAGCTCACCTATAGGCTTACAAACGGCTTAGGCTGTGTTGGAAAGATCCATGAAAGGGCACAGCTCTGTTTTGGTTCCCTGTTTTCAACAAATACTCCAGCAGCTGTAGCGGATCCTACAAAAAGCGGGGAAACATAACACAATAGAACAAATGTAAAAGGAAATTTAGACTTTCAAGTCGCCTCTTTGTGATTTAAAGAGATCAATGCTCAGCGTCCTCTGTGCTGTTTGAATGTCCTCCTTTAGGCCACGGCTCCAGTGTCCATTCCCTCCAGCAGCAGTAACTCGTCCTCCACCAGTTTCACTCCCACCAACAGCTTCAGCATCTCCTGGCAGTCGCCTCCAGTCACTTTCACAGGGAACACGGTGAGGGAATGTGACATTCGTTTACATATACAGACCTCCAGATTTATTCACACCCTCCACTAAGTAGGTCGGGGATCCTACACAGGACGAGGATAGGAAAATATTTGGAATGCATAAATACATAAATCTCTGTAACTTCAGAAAATGTTTCTTTGTTTTTTGAATTGTTTAGGTTTTCAATTATTAATCGATAAGGATTATTGTTTCATGTTTTTTGCCTAGTGGGTCATTTTACTTTTGGGTTTTAAACAACACCTAAGGGTTCTTGAACAGAGTTTGGATTAGTGTCAAATAAAGTGTAACTTCCTTTTTTCTTTTTTTTTTTTTTATTGATAAGTCAGGGAGCCAGGTCAGGGATACTGGTCAGGCGGGAACAGTTCTGGAATCCAGAAGTCCGCAGCCCAGTCAGGGGTTCCGATCCACACAGGAACAGACAGATCCAGGGTTCCAGGAACCTACAGAGCCTGAAGGCATGTTCAGAGTTCCATGCATCCAGCAGCGAGCTCAGTCAGAAACGCACAGATGCAGACAGGCGGCCTCAGTGGTTGAGGGACAGAGACAAGACATGGTACCAGGATAACTGCAGAGCTTTAAACTGGTCTCCAGCTAGAAGCCAGGACACGATCAGGAGACAAGACAAACACTAATACAATTAGGCAGGTGAGAGAAATTAGCAATTAAGATCAGCTATCAGGGCAGATCATGACATTAATAACCAACTGTTGAGATGCAAAACAACAACAAGTAAACAAGGTGATACCACTTCAGCAGTGTCCGTATGCATGGGGAGGGACCAAAACAGTCAATGAAAGACATTTTAGGGAATGTTTTACGCATACATTTCCATAATGACTCAAAAGCTGATGATTTATAAATCTTGCAAAGTCTAGAAAAGAAGGAATTTTAATTTGTCACCCTTGAGATGTCAAAAAATGAATAGATTTTTTTGCTGCAGTAGCAATAAAAATGATTTACTAACATTTAATTTAAGAGTAAATCAAGTGTACCACACTTATTGAAGCTGTAGTTTGAACATTTGCAGCTTCATAATACTTTGGCACTTTGTACAAGTCTGCATGATTTGTAAGAAGTCTGCCCTGATGCAACATTTAGTGAGATGCAATATTTTTAGGTGTGTCAGAGATGTATTTTACATTTACAGTTCAAATGCCCCAGTCCTCATACTGGATTTCTATATTTACGAGCAGAGAAGCTACAGCTCACTAAGATGAGGAAGAGAAGTTAAGAAGAAAAAAAAACAGGAAATGTTTCATTGCACTAATCAACAGTATTAACCCCTGTTATTGTTTTTTTCCTGATGCCTTGAAGGTTGGAGAGATCGTTCACCCTTCCCCTAACACAAATCTCTCTACATCATCCTGGGTTCTCCCCTGTTCTGCTCTTCTTTTTCAGTTTTATGCAGGATTTAGGTCCGATGACAGAGTTGGTCATGGGAGATGGGTGTTTTTATGTCTTGTGACCTATTTTTATGTTGATATGTGATAAGTTTTGGACCGTGATGTTGCAGTGCTGACTGACCGCATGATGAGTCAGTTTTTTTGGCAAAGGCCATCAGACTCTCAAGAACTTTCTGGTATCTCTAAGGACTCGTGATGTTATGCTGTATAGTAGGTTTCCCAGGCTCTGTGGAATAAATAAAAGGACCCACAGAGTCTCTACTGTCCTTTATCCCTCCTTTGTTTCGCTGATTCCATGTTGAGCTTAATTTCTCCAGAGTCACTTAAACTTTGAGCAGCAGCCTCTCAGGTTAATGAACTCTGCACATTTACATCTGTGATGTGACGACACAACAAATCCTTCTCCAAGCTTCCCTCCTTAACATTCAGTTAGACTGCACCAGATTTACAATAGATGATATTTAGAGTTGATTACCAAAAATAATGTTGTTGTTTTTTGCAAACACTGATCTATTTACCTCCATTGGCCCCTCCTCTATTTCCCTGAGTGACAAAGTTAATTCAAATTCAATAAAAAAATACTATATTCATCTCAAAGGGAAATTAAACAACATTAAAATAATGAAATATTGAAAAGTTAAATTAAATAACTAATATCATAATAGCTTGGGTTCTTGTCCAACCTTGTTTCTCTCAGTTCCAGTTCTCAGCAGGTTTAGATGAGGGTCTGTATTCTTCGAGGCTTTTCTGTCTAACAAGGGTTAACAAACATCCACCACACTTAGAAGCCATTGTTTCCTGTTTTTCCTATTTCAAAGAACAGCAAAAAAACAAACCCAAAGGAACCGCCCTTTGTGTCACATCCCATTCGTTCCCCAGGGATGAAGTCATGGATTACTTAAAGTTCCTTAAGGACTAAAAAGCTTTAGTATTTTCTATTTTAGAGGGTTGGCACTGGGGATTTTGCCAATAAATCAATTTTGGGGGATTTATTGTTAATGTTTTGATTGACAAGCTTCTGTTCACTCTTTCCAGGTTTCTCCCACTGAAAACCAGGTGTTCGGAGAACAGCGATCCCAGACCATCTCCGTCCTTTCATCCCCTCCCAGAGCGACCACTGCCCTCAGGTACCAGAACCTCATTGCTTATTCTTTATCTAACGCCACTTACTGTGTTTAAAGATTTACTATGCAAAGGGGAAGACAAATCTGATATAACCTAAAACAAAAAGTCGGAAACCAGGTAATCTGATCACATTTTCTGCCAAAGAAGCCCATCAGAGAGTCAGCTTTGCTGCATGGAGGGAACATTTCTTTGCACATTAGCACGGTGGAGCTTAACTCCCTGATTTACTACAGCATGACCTTTATTGTTGGTTCCTTTTTTCTCCCTCACAGCCGGAAAGTGCGCGGCGAGGGGAAGAAGTGCCGTAAGGTCTACGGGATGGAAAACCGTGACATGTGGTGCACCGCCTGCCGCTGGAAGAAAGCCTGTCAGAGATTCACCGACTGATCCCACCCGGCCAGTGCATCGCAGCACCAGCAGGCACCGCAGCTGTCGGCCAGAGAAACGTAGAGGGAGGGGGCTTCGTTTTGCATGCACTTGGTCTTTCTGCGGCTCAGAATCGCAAATATCCGTCAAGCTCCGGCCCCTCTTTCACGTTAGCGAATCCCTTCCAGCAGCAGAGGCAAATGAAGGATGGCCAAAAACAAAGGGTTGTTTTTTTCACAGTGCTGTCCAGGACTCCTAATACTGCCTCCATCATTCCCAACATTCCCAGAGAATGGGAAACTCCAGTGCAGCTAAACGGTGTAAAATAGATCTTTTCATGTTGGGTTCAGTGTTGCATCTTTCTATGTTTTGTACAGCTCTGGTTTTTAATGGAAAGTCTTGTCTGAGAAGCAGCGTTTTTGCGTTTTGGTAAAAAGATTAATGGGAGACTTTCTTTTTCATCCAAAAAAGGAACTTTTTTTTTGTTCCTCCTTCAATTCCTTTACTTGGTTTGTTTCATTTCTGGACATTTCTGAGATCAATCAGTCCTGTTCCTTCTGGGCTCCGAGGGGCCGTCATGGAACTGGATGAAAGGCGGGAAAGAGAAGGAAGTGAAAGTCAAGCAAGGTGAATAATCAATGCAAACTTCCAGTCCGGGAAAGCAGATTGACTACATCCCATTTGAAAATAACATTAACCTGCTTAATCAAGTCTGTTCCCTCCATTTATTCAGGGATGTGATTCTGCAGAAAGATAAAGAACCAGTAGCTTAAACGTTGGGTTTATGTTAACCTCAACAGCAGCTTCTCTCTTCTTCTGTCATGTTCTTTTTTAATTTTTGGGGCTTTTGTTGCTGTGCCATGTTTACGCTTTTGTTTTAAGCATGTTGCTCCTTCACTTATTTCAATGGGGATCAAACTGAAACTGTTAAACAAAACATATTTGAACACAGCTCTCTTCTAGCTCTTTGAGTCACACCCTGGAAAGAGCAACATTTTTTAAGCACATGCAGAGATAAGAAACCAACCTCCTTGTGTTCATTTAGCTGTTTTCCAAAGCAAACTGCTGAAAAAGGAAACTTTGTTTACATGTGCCACAAGGGTGCATCTCTGTTATCTGTAAGCTAAAGACAGGAGGGCTGAAAACCAAAAGCGTTGCACTAATTTTAATAGACAAACTGATTTCTACCGCAATGTAAGCTCAGTTTCTTCTGAACCTAGCTCTTATGAAGGAAATTTAATAGCAAAAAAATACAAAAACGACATAGCTGCATACAGCCATTCTTGTTTCTTGAAGAAGTGAAGGGAAATGTGGAGACTGGATCATTTCACCTCTTTGCTATTTACTCTGCCATATGTTGCCATTTTGCTCCTATGAAAAAAACAAAAACCTTTACCACTTATCAGATTAATCAGATAATTCTGTCAGTAGTTGGGTATTTTGATGACTAGTAGAGATGTTTGATTAAAAAAATGCTCCAATCTTGTATTATTTAATTGGTCATTGTGATGTGAAGTTTTAAAATAGCAGTCTTCTTTTTTTTATTAGCTTCTAAACCCTGTTTGGCCCAATTAACTCTGAAAATATGACCCCTAATCAAACCTTATAACTATAAGATACATCCTTTTTAAAAGTAAAATTTGTTGCATTTATTGGACACATCAAATAAAATGAACTGATCCAAATTCTGCTGCAAATTATTAAGTTATTAGTTGGTGCTATTAGTTCTTGAAAATTGTATTTGGACATCTCTGCTGCTTACAGTGGAATTGGAGGTGGGTGTGAGAGAGAGAGCAGATTGTGAACAATTATTAACATTTAGCTTTTCGTCTTAATATTTCACATCTTAATTTTATATTAATAATTTTTTATTCCTTAGAGAAATAGATCTCAGATTTTTAAAACAGGAACTTTAGTTATTTTCTCTTAATCATCCTGATTGGTCACTTTAAAAATGTTGCACAAAAGCACTTGGAGTTTTTTTAGTTTGTTGTATTTTGTCATAAAAGGTTTATCAGTTTACATTATATGTGGGATTCAATTTTATTTTTTGTCTTTTTTTATGCAGACAGTGAAATCACCAATGTTGAAAGTTTGAAAAAGTGACTGAAAATCTGCTTAAGTTGGAACTTAAGTTAGGAAACTGTGTCCATCGCCTGAGACTTTAAAATTCAATCTGGCTGCTGTTTTTTCTAGCTTTGAAAACTGATCTCTTTAAATCAATTACTGTTCGATACAACATCCTTTATTCTACATGAGCTGTGTTCAGTCAGCATATAACAGTTTTGAAATCTCCCTGGTTTTCTTTCCTGGGACTGAGAGACTATAAAACGTGGTTAGTTATTGTTTCCTAATCTGACATCAGTGACCACCAGCACTTGTTCCTGTCCTGTTTAGTCCACTTCACAGGAGTTCATTACAATTTCCTCTTTTCACCAAAAGGTCGGTGCAACAATGATCTTTGCATAATTGATATTTTTGGCTCTTGGTATCCATTGCCTTTAAATCACTGTTACTAAGCATGCATTTGCTTTGTAAATCTGTGTCATAGTTAATTTTAATTATGATCGAAAACAACCAAAGCAACATAGAGGGTACTTTTACTATTGAGAATCATTCACCTAAAGAATAAGGGCCTCAACCTTGCCATTTCTAGAAAGCCAACATTTTCATGATGGACAGAGGCTGAAGAACCAAATAAACGGTGGCGTAATGTTTAGCCTTCCTGTTATGTGCTCAAATTCTTGCTCTCTCTCACTCCTACAGGTTAAATTAACCTTGGACATGTTCTGATGACATACATTTTTCTTCATGCAGCCGAAATGTCCATACTAAAGCGTGTTGCTGATGCAAATATGCAAAGCTTAAGTTCTCTAAAACTTATAGATTTTGCGGTTTCTGACTGAAGTATCTGGTCCTGGCTGATTAAGCTCAGTAAAACATCAATTTTTTCCATCTCATAGGCAGAGGCAACCTAAATAAAAATGACAATGCGGTGAAATGACCAGCATCCAATTACTTGTCTGTTGTTTACCATGCACTGCACTACTTTCTCACTTTGCTCCATGCAAACCAAACTACAGTTTAACCTTAACCCTTCAGATTGTAAATGAAGAAACTTCCTTTTTCATTCGAAAAGTTTTTATTTGAATTCCAGCTTCTGTTTTTGCCTCAAAGGGAATGTAAAGGCAGCAGCCGGCTTTATTACAGTGTTGTGATTCAAAGACAGAGGTGTTGAGGAAAAGACGAGGCAGTTTGTCCTTACTTTTTCTCTGTTTCCTCTGTCATGTGGCGAGCTTATTTGTTTAAATGCATGCTGTAATGTTAGTTTGCACTTCCGCCAGCCATTTTCACACCAGTTATTATAAACCAACACCAGCTGATAAACTCACCATTGCTACTTTAGCATTCAGTACTTCCACCTCTGCAGGCCGTAGCTCTTACTTCTGTCCTTTTTTTGTTGTTTCTGTATATACGGATTTCTTGTGTATCCTCTAAGCTTGTTCTTTTTTTGCTTGTTTTTCTTGTTTTGTTTTTTAAGCAGATAGATCGAGCAGTTCATCTGGATCCTTTTTTAGGAAGACAGGTTATAAGAAAAGTCTCTGTTCAGCCTTAATGTTGATCATTATTCTTCTGTTGTTACATTTAGGTTATTTCAAAGCTCATCCACCCTTGTACAATGTGAACTTGTTTAAAAAAAAAAAAAGGACAGATTTATATAGTTTCAGAAAAAAAGATTTAAATTCAAAGCTTAAGAAAGAACTTAGGATGTTTTTCTTTGACTATTTTTTCATATGTATATGCATACAAATATATAAAAACTGTTTATTCATTTTATTTTCATGTTCTTCTAATGAGGCTGTAGGAGGAAACGTATTACTATCTCAGCCTCTTGTGCTCTTTTCCTTTAAGTGCGACCTGCATGTGTTCCTTCATGCTCCCACTGTTCTGCTGATATATCCAAAACCCACAGTTGAGTCCATGTTTTATTTCCAGATTATTTGAAGTCTGTTTGTGTTGGATTCCATGCATGAGTGAGGGAACGTGAAGGACGTCCGGGCAAAGCTGCCTGGGATTGATCACCTTTTCCCAAGGTGTCGCCAAGTTCGCTCAAATCCCATCTAGGTTCATGGATGTTTAAGTTACAGCTGAGTTTTGTTTGTTTTTTCTCATTTTGTAATTATTGTTCAATGTACTTCCCACTAATTTCTTTCCATCACTATGGTGCTTTTGTGTTTTTCTCCATTTGTGTTTGGAAAAACTTGGCGTCAGCTACAGTCGAGTCTCCAGGAACCAATCCCTGCAGTTCTCAGAGTTGCTGGCAAAGCCGGAAAAACAAAGTGGCGCATTTCCAGGCAGCTAATTTACAAGATCTTTTTCCTAAATATTTAATATTGTACAAGATTTGGCTTAAATAAGCAAATTCAATGCTGTTTATTCTAGATCCAAATAAAACTCAGAGTTTTGCAGCTGTTTTTGTCAGACTTCTCGAGGAACTCTGGGATTTTATCCTGAAATAGCCGGATATGCTTCACAGTGCTGAGAGTGATATTCGTCAAAAAAAAAAACAACTGCACAGACACTGCTCCAGCCTGACGGTGCTTTCAGAGGCTCCTGGCCTGCTGAGGTCGGGGATCCTGGTGCTGTGGCCACGGCGGGGGAGAAACAGAGGTGCTATAGATATCCACGCAGTACTGTTTCTCCCTCAGATCGCATTGATTCCATTTTGTACATATTGTTATATTGCTTAAGAGAACATGAAAATAAAAACACCCTGTCTCAAGTCTGCCGAGTGTCCAGACACAAGTTAGTGATGACTGCTGCCTGAAATCACGGCGCCTTTGACACATATGTGAAGATGAGTAATTGTATCACTTATTGCATTTCAAAATGATATTGTCAAAGAAGGATCTTACTGAATATACTTATTTAATGGGAAGCAGAAAAGGACAATTCTCAATAAGGGAAAGAGGTGAACATATCTAGGAAGTGGCTCCCAGAAAATTTCTACTGTTTAAACCTACTTTATCTACAATAGTTAATGAATCAAGATGAGTTGGAAGCTTTAGTCTAGTTTAGCTGCAGTCGTACCAGGAGGGATTGAACTTTCAGCAGAGATGAACAGGTAGAAAAGCCTCCAGAGTTTGCTGTTCAGTCAGAATGACTTAATAGGCTGTGTGCATGGAGGAAATTAGTCTGCATGGCCGTACTACTATTCAGTAGAATCCATCATGCTGTGGGCCTTTTTCACTCAAACAAAAGATCACAACCTGAAAAAAAACATGTTGCATTAAAATCCTGGTGGAGACTTCTTATATTCTCACCATTTAAAGTAGGAAATTAAATGCTTCATAATTAGCAAAACAAAGATACACTATATTGCCAAAAGTATTTGCTCACCCATCCAAATTATTGGAATCAGGTGTTCCAATCACTTCCATGGCCACAGGTGTATAAATTCAAGCACCTAGGCATGCAGACTGTTTTTACAAACATTTGTGAAAGAATGGGTCGCTCTCAGGAGCTCAGTGAATTCCAGCGTGGAACTGTGATAGGATGCCACCTGTGCAACAAATCCAGTCGTGAAATTTCCTCGCTCCTAAATATTCCACAGTCAACTGTCAGCTGTATTATAAGAAAATGGAAGTGTTTGGGAACGACAGCAACTCAGCCACGAAGTGGTAGGCCACGTAAACTGACGGAGCGGGGTCAGCGGATGCTGACGCGCATAGTGCGAAGAGGTCGCCAACTTTCTGCAGAGTCAATCACTACAGACCTCCAAACTTCATGTGGCCTTCAGATTAGCTCAAGAACAGTGCGCAGAGAGCTTCATGGAATGGGTTTCCATGGTCGAGCAGCTGCATCCAAGCCATACATCACCAAGTGCAATGCAAAGCGTCGGATGCGGTGGTGTAAAGCACGCCGCCACTGGACTCTAGAGCAGTGGAGACGCGTTCTCTGGAGTGACGAATCGCGCTTCTCCATCTGGCAATCTGATGGACGGGTCTGGGTTTGGCGGTTGCCAGGAGAACGGTACTTGTCTGACTGCATTGTGCCAAGTGTAAAGTTTGGTGGAGGGGGGATTATGGTGTGAGGTTGTTTTTCAGGAGCTGGGCTTGGCCCCTTAGTTCCAGTGAAAGGAACTCTGAATGCTTCAGCATACCAAGACATTTTGGACAATTCCATGCTCCCAACTTTGTGGGAACAGTTTGGAGCTGGCCCCTTCCTCTTCCAACATGACTGTGCACCAGTGCACAAAGCAAGGTCCATAAAGACATGGATGACAGAGTCTGGTGTGGATGAACTTGACTGGCCTGCACAGAGTCCTGACCTCAACCCGATAGAACACCTTTGGGATGAATTAGAGCGGAGACTGAGAGCCAGGCCTTCTCGTCCAACATCAGTGTGCGACCTCACAAATGCGCTTCTGGAAGAATGGTCAAAAATTCCCATAAACACACTCCTAAACCTTGTGGACAGCCTTCCCAGAAGAGTTGAAGCTGTTCTAGCTGCAAAGGGTGGACCGACGTCATATTGAACCCTATGGATTAGGAACGGGATGTCACTTAAGCTCATATGTGAGTCAAGGCAAGTGAGCAAATACTTTTGGCAATATAGTGTATTAGAGTTAGGGTTGCCAATAACTAGTTTTTTTTTTTGTTTTTTTTTAAGTGAATAATTATTTCTTAATCAGGCTTTTGTTTTCTGACTATAAGATCATGCTACTGTGGTAAAAGACATTTGTTTAAAACATTTTGCACACAGGTTGAAGGTTTACTGGAGTTTAGAGCTATCGGGTTATTCCTGTCAAATGTGTGGGCACTGGAGTGCATCAGGCACAAGAAAAACATCTTAAATCAGAAAGAAAAATCAAATGTTTTATTGCTTATTTATTCCTGAGATTTTCATCTTAGGCACAATGTTTTCATCCTTAAGTATTTAGTAGGATGGATAACATGAAAAACATGATTTGAGCAGATTAATGGAATGCTTTTTTTTAAAGCAATAAAGCCAATAATGTGAACATGTTACCAATATTGTAATTATTATTTTTTGGATTTAGGTTAACATTGAATTTTACCAGTTTGTAAAAAAGTTATTACTTAAAAATAAATAATAACCATAACTTGATAATGCAACATTCAGCACAAATTCAATAAACATATTATCTGAGGAGACTTTAAAAGAGATTAAAACTACACATGGACTTACTAGACTATTGACATTAAAGATTAATTAATGGTCGACTGATTAATATAATTGATTGCAGCTAAATGTGGTTCATTACACCATTTGGAAGCAATTTCCTTTCTTAGGATACGCATTGAGTCGTTAACTTTGTAGCTGTCCGTTGTTAGAAAACTTGAGGCGACAGTGGAAAGGAACAACTATAGTATATAACTGGAAATCTAAAATGTTCTGCCCACTTTCAAATACAGCTAACCGGGAATAATTACATTTCTCTCAATATTTGATTTCAAATATTTAAGGAAATGAACAATATTAGACAAAATGTAGAGTAGAGTATTAGTATGAGGAATAGTTCTCAAATTGGTTTGGACTACCATTAATTGAACAAATAGTGCTCCATAGAGGATAATTCTTATATTCATCGATTTATGAATATGATACTAATGCTATTTTTGACTATTTAAAAAAATAAAAAGCAACCTAAATTACAAGATTTAAAATAATAACACTGTTAGATATTAATATCCACTGCAGTTAAAACTTCTTGAAAGGACTCTTTGGTACAAACCTAGCAATATAATGACTAGCCACAAAACGCTTTGTTAGATCACTGCCAAATCAGTAGATGATTGGATTTATTTCATTTAAAATAGCTAACATTAATGGCTGCTACAATCGAATATCTGCTGCGGCTCATTTTTCTTTGGCCAATTTTGGCCAGCTAATCTGTGGCACATTTTCAAATAATGACTTAGTTTAAGAATTGTTTTCTAATTAAAAGTTTTCCTCAAATTTCAGTGAATTAGTTGGAATAATAAATCTCTATTCTTTTAAAGCAACTGAGGAAGGTGCTTATTGCTCCTTAAGTCTTTTAAAAATGTCAGTTGTATGTTTGTAATCTCAGAATCATCTCGTCCCCAGGCTTTTATAAATATAAGCTTCAATTCACAATTTAAACTTTAACAGATCTCTTAAATGTTTAATAGGGACCATGTGAAACAGTCAAAAGCTCCACAGATAATAAAATATGTGTTTTCATTAAAAAAACAGCTTGTTTTCCTGCTTTTCAAACATGTAAGAACAGCCACTCTTAGCCATGATTGCAGCACCTTTGGGGTCTTTAATATGAAATCATCATATCAATGTGTTTTAACATGTAGGAGATCTTAAATGGTCAACTTTGTTTAAGGAAAAGCTTGCATAATTTGTTTGTTTTTTTTTGATGATACCTACAGTAACAGCATTTGACCTGACTTATTTATATACAGTGCTCTATCTATAAATCTTTCTGGAGGCTAATAATCATCTCTCCTTAGGTAACGATGGACTCTGATTCTTTGTCTTGTGTAATTGTGTGCAGTGGTGGCACCTTATGTGTTGACGGTTTTATATGGAGTCCTGGTTTATATAGCTGATCTTTAAACAACACCCCTTGTACATGATGAGAAGCTGACCCCTTACATACCCTGTATCATCTGCATATGGGTCAGTATATTCTACAGAATAAGCTGTGGTGCAGTATATCTAAGCAGTATCAGTGTGTACTAGTATTCAAACCTGTATACTCTCAAAATGGCATTCATGTTGTTCAGTCTGTGTGTGACGAAGGGGCTTGAAGGTCCCCCTCAGCTCTGTGGCTGCTGATTAACCAGCCACCTCCCCTCACTGCATGTGATAAAGAAACGCCTGAGCCACCTTTATCTGCCTTCTTACACAGCGATTCCTGCTTTCTGCTGATGTAACAGCAGGTGGCGCCCTGTGGAGTAGAAGTCATGTGATGGTGAGCTTGAGCCAGGTTTCTGTTAGCCATCTGTATGGCTTTTTGGGGGGTTTCAGGCTGCCAGTCCAGGTGTTGCTATCAATGAAAAGAGAAGTTTGTGTTTCGGGGATCTCCTTCAAAGTATATTTGAAGGAGTCTTGAATGTGCCTTGATAAGCGTGGAGTTTAGCCACGTCGTGTGGAGAAACTTTTGGACGTGTGATGCCCATTGTGCGCGCACGCAGATGAAGACGACGATAGAATGTTTCTGGTGCTGGCTAGTCCGAGTTCTGCTTTTTGTATCTAAGAGTCAAAAGCTTTGTGATACAAAGGAATGTCTTTTGTGTTGTGTACAGCGGGGCCTGTTTAGCCTCTCCTTTTCTTTTCTCTTGTCGGGGTTCTAGGAAGATGTTGCATCTTTAGAGCGACTTTTCTACTCTTTGCTGTAACTTGTAAACTATTTTTCAATTATTATGATGATGAAGCTGTGTTCCTGTCTGTTGTTTATTGTCTTATTGTCATCTTTGTTTTCCCAAACATGAACCCTCTCTCCCTTTCAAAAATAGGGCTTGTAGACTACCGTGGGAGGAAGTGTTGTGGCACACTCCGGCAATGTTTGGGAAATCAAGGAAGCTTCTTTTGTTAAATGGTCGGTGAAATGATCTCTCTCCTTAGCGAGGAGCCAAGCAGCCGTTTCCACATGAACCTGAGTGGGACTCCCCTCACTTTCAATGTGAATGTGGGTGAATTTTAATGTCTTTTTAAAATAGAGTAAAAAAAAAAACACTCATCAGCCTTGAATCAATTATTGGCTTTGATTGCAGCGTTAATCGGCTGC